TATGTAAACCAGGCTGGCCTTGAACTCGCAGAGATCTGCCTGCCTCTGCCTTCCAAGTGCTGAGACTACAGGCGTGCACCACCATGCCCAGCCAAAAAAAAAAAAAAAATTAATTTTTTTTCAGAAAAGTAGCTGGGCATGGTGGTACATGCCTTTAAAAAAATAACAAAGAGCTAGGCATGGTGTTTCTTGCCTATAATTCTAGCACTTGAGAGGTACAGGTAGCAAGATCCCCTTGGGTAAGACCAGCCTGGGCTATCATAGGTAGTTCTAGGATATCCTGGGCTATAAAGTAAGACCCTGTCTCAAAAGTAGAAACAAAATAAAACAAAAACAATGAGTCTATGTGCATATCAAAGTAATAACAACTATGCACAGAAGTAACTAATTCAGGAAACTTTTGAACATAATCTTGAAACCTTGTCCCAAAACATCATTGATTGGAGAAAGATTAGAGATATGAAATGGAAAGATTAAAAAAAAATTAAGCAATAGTTTATTTTATGTGTATGAATGTATTGCCTGCATGTAAGTGCCTCCATGTCATGCAATGTCTGAGGCAGTCAGAAGAGGGTATTAGATCCCTTGGAACTGGAGTTAGGGATGGTTGTTAGCTACTGTGTGGGTGGTGGCAATCAAACCCAGGTCTCTACAAGAGCAATTAGTGCTCCTAACTACTGAGTCATCTCTCCAGCCCCATGAAAAAAACTTTTTAAGTGTTGAATTTGAGAGGGATTTTTTCTTTTTCTTTTTGGGGGTGTTTGTTTTGGAGCTTTTTAAATGATTTATTTTTATTTGTACAAGTGTTTTGATTGCCAGTATGTTTATTGGTATGTGTGTACTGCCCTCAAAGGCCAGAAGAGGGTGACAGAGCTGCCATGTGGTGCTGGGAGTTGAGCCCTGTTCCTCTGTGCTCTTAACTCCTGAACCCAGCCCCCTGTTGCATGTGTGTGCGTGGGGGGAGGTATTTACTTTTAGTTTACGTGTATGAATATTTTTGCATGCATGTATGTAAGTGCACCCATGTCATGCAATGACCACAGAGGTCAGGAGTTACAGACAGTTATAAGCTACCATGTGAGTGCTAGGAACTGAAACCAGATCCACTGCAAAAGCGTCAGTGCTCTTAACCACTGTGCCATCTCTCCATCCATGCCCACCTTATTTTTTGAGACAGGGTCTCTGTTGGCCTAGAGCTTGCCTAGTTAGGCGTGGCTGACTAGCCAGTGAACCACAAAGATCCACCCATCTCCATCTACCCAGCAATAGGATTATAAGTGCATGCTACCCCACCCAGCATGTTGTTTTAAATCTATGTGTGTGTCTGTGCATGAATACCCAAGGAGGCCAGGAAAGTGTATCAGATCCCCTGGAGCTGGAGTTACAGGTGGTTGTCAGCTGCCTGACATCCATTACTAGGAACTAAACCTGGGTTCTCTCAAAGAATATCAAGTGCTCTTAACTACTGAGCCATTCCTCCAGCCCCACACCCAAGCTGTTTGAACTCAGGTCGTCAGGCTTGAGTTCTGGGAATTGGACTGAGGTCCTCAGACTTGCAGGGAATGCACTTTATTGAGCTCTCTCCAGCCCAGCTTACTATTTTTTATTTTTTATTTCTTTTGGTCTTTTTGAGACAGGGTCTCCCTGTAGCCCAAGCTGTCCTGGAACTCACTATGTAGACCAGGCTGGCCTGGAACTCACAGAGATCTGCCTGCCTCTGCCTCCCGAGTGCTAGGATTAAAGGCATGTGCTATAAATATAAATTAAAAAAAAATATGCCGGGTGTGGTGGCTCACACCTTTAATCCCAGCACTCGGGAGGCAGAGGCAGGCAGATCTCTGTGAGTTCAAGGCCAGCCTGGTCTGCATAGTTAGTTCCAGACCAGCAGGGGCTACAGGGAGATTCTGTCTGGAAAACACCACTCACTATGTAGATCAGGCTGGCCTTGAACTCACAGTGATCCATCCACCTGCCTCCAGAGTGCCAGGATTAAAGGCATGTGCTACCACACCCAGTCATTTATCTTTTCTTTATCCTCTCTTTCTTTCACCTGCACTTGTGTGTGGAAACCAGAGGCCTGAGGACTTAGTCATTCTCCACCTCAGTTTTTGTCTGTTTTTTGCTGTATCCCTGGGCTTTTGCCATCACACCCTGCTCCACCTTGGTTTGTTGTTGTTGGTGATGGTGGTGGTGGTAGTAATAGTATGTGTGTAGGTTATATATGTTTGGGTACATGTATGTGCAGTTCATGTGGAAGCCAGAGATTGCTATTGGGTGTTTTCCACAATTGCTCTCTGCCTTGTTTTAGATTTTTACATTTATTTATTTATTTGTGTGAGTGTGTGTATGGGCAAACACATGCTACAGCATGTGTGTGGAGGTCAGAGGACAAAGTGTGAGAATCATTTCTCTCTTTCTACCATGTTTGTTCCTGGGATTGAACTCCGGTCATCAGGCTTGACAGCAAGCACCTTTGACTCACTGAGCCATCTTGCCAGCCCTCCACCTTGTTTTTTGAGACAAGGTCTCTTCACTGAACCTGGAGGTCACTATTTAGGCTAAACTAGCTGGAATGTGAGTCCCTAGGATCTCTCTGTCTCCACTCCCCAGCATTGGGGTTATAGGTGTACACTATCACATCTGGCTTTCATGTGGGTGCTGGGGATCTCAACTCATGCTTGCACAAGCACTTTACCCACTGAGCCATCTCCCCAGCTTCTCTGTCTTGTTTTTTGAGACATCTGTCATGGGCTTGGGGCTAGAGAAATGGCTCAGGGATAAGAGTGCATACTGCTCTTGCAGAGAACCAAGTTTGGTTCCCAGAACCCAAGTCAGGTAGTTCATAACCATATGTAACTATAGCTCCAGGGAAACACCTTCTGGCCTCTGCATACACCCACACATGCTGTCACATACATAAATGAAAATAAATCTTTAAAAAAAAAAATTGATCTTGCTTATTCAGCTAGACTGGCTAGCCAGTGAGCCCCTGGGATTTACCTGTCTCTGCCCTTCAGCACCAGAGATTACCTCTACACATGGCTTTTTATACTAGTACTGGAGATCAAACTCAGGTCCTCAGGTTTGCACAGCAAGCACTTTATTACTAACTGAAACATGTCTCCAGCTCTCCTCCTTTCTTCCTTTCTTTCTTTTTGTCTTTTAGAGACAAGAACTCACTATGTAGGCTGACCTTGAATTCTTGATCCTCCTGCACTCAGCCTTAAGTGATTTTTTTTTTTCTAGCTCTTTCCACTGAAAGGAACCAGAACAATAATATCACAGTAGCAATAGACACCCTACTTCCAGGTCTTGGGTTCTAAGTACCAATCCTGACCATATTAGGTATGAGAACTCCTTAGAGAATTAAGTGATTACATGTTTAGAGCAGGAAAACCCAAGGTGAGCCCTGTACCTTGTGCCTTGGAATAAAAATTCATTTTATTACCCGGGCACGGTTGCACAACACCTTTAATCCAAGCACTCTGGAGGCAGAGGCAGGTGGATCTCTGTGAGTTCAAGGCCAGCGTGGTCTACAAAATGAGTTTCAGGCCACCTAGGGCTACAAGGAGACACTAACTCAAAATGACCAAAAAAGGGGGGTAAAATTTTTATTTTATTCCAGTAAAGGAAGAAGTACTCATGGAGAGGTGTTAAGAGGATATGAGAATTAACTTGTGAAGCTTCCATAGTCCAATTTGAGCATAATAAAGTGATAATAGTGGATTGTAACAATGTGATGCTACATGGAGGGGAGGGTCAGACAGCAAAATCCTTTTATAGAAGAGCCAAATAAATAAAGATTGACAGAACTAGGAAATGAACGTTTAGGTTAGGGATGTGGTTCGGTGATTAAGGGCTGTGAGGCTCTGAGTTCATCCCCAGCAAGCAAAAAGAAGAGAGAAGAAAGGTCAATTTTTTCTTTTTTTCCCCCTTTTTTTTTTGAAACAGGGTGTGATGTAGCCTGAACTTCTAATCTTCTTGCTTCTACCTACCTCCTAAGAGCCTACCTCTTAAGTACCTATCTCCTAAGTGCTGTGATTATAGGCTTGCTTCACTACACCCATTTTATGCAGTACTGGGGATTGAACTCAGGACTTTGTACATGTTAGGCAAGCACTCTACTAACTGAATCATTCTGTGTGTTTGTGGCAGTTTCATGTAGTTCAGGCTAGCCTCAAATTTGCTGTATAACCAAGACTGGCCTTGAACACTTCATCTTCCTTCTACTACCTCCCAAGTGCTGAGATTACAAGTGTATGTACCATTTTGTAAACTTTAATCTATTATTTGATTTAGGGAATGATCATCAATGGATCCTAAAAGCAGTGGGTGAAAAGTTGTAAAGGAAAATAATACCCACGAGTCTTCCACAGTATAAGCTGTCATTCTGCAGCTGGGTGTGGTATGCACACTTGTAATTCCATCACTGGGGAGAAGGGGATCAGAGGATCCCTGGAGTTTGCTGGCCAGCCAGCCTAGCCTACTTGACAAGCTTCAGGGCAATGAGAAGACCCTGTCTCAAAAAAAAAAGGCGGAAGCTAGAGTGATGGCTCAGCAGTTAAGAGTGCTTTCTGTTCTTCCAGTGGACCTGAGTTTCTAGCACCTATATTGGGTGGCCCACAGCCACCTGTAACTACAACTTCAAGGGATGTGATGTCCTCTTCTGACCTCCAAGGACACCTGAACATGACCCCATTTGCAAACATATGCAAATAAATAAATAAATAAATAATTAATTAATTAACTTTTTTTTTAAGTGGATATGCCCAGTGTGATGGTCCATGCCTTTAATCCTAGCACTTGGGAGGCAAAGGCAGACCTCTATGAGATAGTTGCCAACCTGGTCTACATAGCGAGTTCCAGGCTAGCTGGGGCTACAGGGAGACCCTGTCTCAAAAAGACAAAAAAAAAATTAATTTAATTAAATTAAAAACAAATAATTTTCAAAAAGATTAACAATCCTAATTAACACAAGTATTTTCTGTATGTTTTCAAAGGAATGAAGATATTGAGCTCATTCTCTCAGAAAATAGTTTTTCAAGTCCTCAGATGCTGCGATCTCGATACTTAATGTTTCCTGGCTGGCAAGTATCATTTTTAAAATTTTATTTATTTATTGTGTGTATGTGTATGTGTTCCTGCCATAGTGTGCATTACCAGGTCACAGGACAGCTTTGTAGAGTCAGTTCTCTTCTACCATGTTGGTTCTAGGGATCCAACATGTTGGTTCTAGAGATCCTGAGGACTCAGGTCCTCAGGCTTGGCAGCAAGCACCTTTACCCACTGAGCCATCTCTCTGGCCCAAATATTATTATTAAATAGTAGCTTTAAAAGTATGAGATAAATGGGGGCCAGACGTGGTGGTGCACACCTTTAATCCCAGCACTTGGGAGGCAGAGGCAGGCAGATCTCTGTGAGTTCGAGGCCAGCCTGGTCTACATAGGAAGTTCCAGGTCAGCTGGGGCTACAGGGAGACCCTGTCTCAAAAAGACCAAAAAAAAAAAAAAGTATGAGACAAATGGCTTATTTATTTACGAGAGAGAGAGAGAGAGAGAGAGAGAGAGAGAGAGAGAGAGAATGCCATGACAAAAGCAATGAATGATGGTGCATACCTTTACCCAGCACTCAGGAGGTAGAGGCAGGCTGATCTCTGCATACTCTACATAGCAAGTTCCAGGCCAGCTGGGACCACAGAGAGACCCTGTCTCAAAAGAAAAAGAAAAAAAAAGACAAAAAAGAAAATGACAATACCATATATGCCTTCTAAGGTCACACATGTTAACTGGGATAGCCTACTGTGCCCCTCTAGCCACCAGCCTTGCCAGGGATCTATGTTCCATGCCTTGAACTCCAAATGTGGAGCCTTTCTGGATGTTGAGATTTAGGTCATCCTGCAGGCACCAAGTGTAATGGTTCTTTGTGGCATGGCATCAGGACTTATATCCTACACAGGTAAGAGAGTTCCTCTCCTGAGTTGTCAGTCCTCTAGGATTCCCATCTAGTAGGTAGATTTCTGCAGAGGCGGTCCATGGAATGTGTAGTGCAGGCTGCCTCATAGCCTAAGAACCTCTCCAGTGAGGGGAGGAAAAGAAAGATACAGAGTCCACATAACCATACTGAAGCACCAGCATCACCTGAGCAGTCACTGTGTTAGACTAGGCATGTGTAGAACCTGCTAGCCATATAGCTGTTAACTGTAATGTCAATATAAATGTAAATATAAATTAATAAAATTCTAACAAAATTTAGAATCCATTTTCAGTCACACAGCACATTTCAAGTGCACCATAGCTGCCTGTGGCTGGTAGTTACATATTGGGCAGTGCAGATCTAGAACATTTCCATCATCTTAGAGAGTTCTTCTGCACAGCTCTGCTCTGAGATCTCTGTCTGTGTCATAACAACCCTGTGACATGTCCTATTCAGGGATGAGCACTCTGCAGCCTCTTGTTCTCTGCACATTGGCCAGTAGTGGCTTTCTGTGTTAGTCACCATCTGCTGCATAAGGAGAATTTTCTGGTGAGAGCTGAGAGATGGATTCATCTTTTTTTTTTTTATGTGTATGAGTGTATTGCCTGCATATAGGTAAGTGCACACATGTTGTGCAATGCCCGGGGAGGACAGAAGAGGCCATCAGATCCCCTGGTACTAGAGTTATAGACAGTTGTTAGCTGCCATGTGGGTGCTGAGATTTGAACCTGGGTCTTCTGCAAGAACAACCAGTGTTCTTAACCACTGAGCCATCTCTCCAGCCTCAAGAGATGCATTCACCTTATGTGTAGAGGTTGCAATGAAAATGTATCACAGTGCCAGATATGGTGGCACACACCTTTAATCCCAGCACTTGGGAGGCAGAGGCAGGTCAATCTCTGTGAGTTTGAGGCCAGCCTAGTCTACCTAATGAGTTCCAGGACAGCTGGTGCTACAGGGAGACCCTGTCTCAAAAAAGAAAAAAAAAAGAAAGAAGGAAGGAGAGAGGGAGGGAGGGAGGGAGGAGGGAAACACTTCACAGACACTTACTCTCTCTGTGACCAGAATTCTGTATTAGTCCCCATCTCTTGCAAAAAGAAGCTTCTTTAATGAGTGTCGAGAGGTACACTTGTCTATAAATATGAGGATGCATATTTAGAATACAGTAAGAAATTATGTTGGTCTAGGGATGTGGCAAAAGTAGGTTTTTTTCTCTAGGATCTGTGACTTCTCCAGCCGTGTATATTTGGCTATGTTTACAGTACCACACTTAAGTTCCCTCCCATTGAGCAGGCCTTAATTCCAATTATCCCCAAGATAAGTGCCTCTACTGCACCAATAGTGATAGTTTGCTGGGCCAGTCATTGTACTTTATTAGGCTTTACATCTAGGTAGGTCCATTGATTAATTTTCTCTCTTGGCATCTTACATAGTATTCTGTGATCCATGAGAGGAGGCTTCCAGATCAATTCCAGCTCGATTGCTCCAAGACCAGTGTCGGAAGTAGAGCTTCTTTTCAGCAATAGGGTCTTACCTTCAAATTCTGGGAGGCAATCAAGGACTATGGCAATAGCCTGTGTTATTTTGGGAGTCCTGACCAGTTGTTAGCCACCATGTGAGGGCTGGGAACTGAATCCAGGTCCTCTGCAAGAGCAGCCAGTGTTCTTAACCCATCCCTCCAGTCCTTATTTTGAGTTTTTTAAGAGTGTTCCATACTGATTTCCACAGTGCTTGCACCAGTTTTCAAACCAACTAACAGTGGATGAGAACAAAATGAAACAATTTTAACACTCAGTTCAAGGGCTGGGCATAGTGGCACATCACAGCACTTGGAAGGCTAAGGCAGTAGGATCACCATGAGCTGAAAGCCAGTAAGACACTTTCTTGAAAAAAAAAAAAGGAAAATAAAAGGTTTTCAGCCATATTCTTAGAAGAAACCTCTGATTGGGGTCATATCATACTTCCTTAAATAGTGGACAAGTGTGTCATTCCTTATGATTAAACAAGACAATTATATCGTGGCTACAAAGAAACAGGTTTGGGGAGCTGAGGATGTAGCTCAGTTGGTAGAGTGCTTGCCTAGCATGTATGAAGCCCTGAGTTCCATCTCCAGTGCTACATAAACCAGGTTTGGTGGTGCATGCATACAATCTCCACACTCAGAAAGTAGAGGCAGAAGGATCAGGAAGGAGCTCAAGAGCTCAAGGTCATCTTCAGCAACACTGGGATTTTGAAGCCAGCCCACACTACACACAAGACCCAGTTTCAAAAACAAAACTAAAGCTGGGCATGGTGGCACACACCTTTAATCCTAGCACTTGGGAGGCAGAGACAGGCGGATCTTTGTGAGTTCGAGGCCAGCCTGGTCTATATAGTGAGTTCCAGGACAGCTGGGGCTATAGGAGACCCTGTCTCAAAAAGACCAAAAAAAAAAAAAAAATTAAAAGTTACTTTTAAAAAAATGAAATAATGTGGTGGTGCTAGACATGATGGTGCAGGCCTATAATCTCAGTACCTGGGAGCATCCTCCAGGCCCTCCCTGTTGAGTTCATGCTAAGAAGTTGGAAATTTTCATCTTTTTTTTTTTTTTTTGGTCTTTTTGAAATTTTCATCTTTTAACAAGATGGCAAGATGGCAGTTCCCTCCCACAGCCCTCTGTTTTCATCAGCTCCACTTCCACTTTCTCTAGTGGAAAAATTTCTTCCTAGTGTGGGCAGAAAACCTTGCTTTCTTCCATAATTCCTCCTAATTTCCTGTTCTAGTGTGCTTTCTGTTGGTGTAATAAAACACTGTGACCAAAAGCAACTTGAGGAGGAAAGGGTTTACTTCATCTTACAAGTTACAGTCATCTTTGAGGGAAGTCAGGCAGGAACTTAAGGTAGGCACGGAAGCAGATTCCACTGTAGTATGCAGCACACACAAAATAAAGAAAATAAAATTTTTGAGACAGGGTCTTGTAGCCCCAGTTGACCTGGAACTTGATATGTAGACTAGACTGACCTTGAACGCACAGAGATCTACCTGCCTCTGCCTTTGCCTCCAGAGTGCTGGAATCAAAGGCCTACGCCACCATGCCTGGCTTAATTTTTTTTTTTTTTAAAGAAGTCTGTTATAAGTAAGGCATGGTAACACACACCTGCAATCCCAGCCAGCACTCAGGAGGTGAGGATCAGGAGTTCAAGGTCACATAGTGAGATTCAGGCCAGCCCAGTCTATATGAGACCCTGTCTCAAAAGCCTTAAAAAAGAGCCAGGCATGATGGTGCACACCTCTAATCCCGCACTCTGGATGCAGGAGAGGCAGAAGCAGGCAGGTATCTGTGAGATGGACGACAGCCTGGTCTACTTTGTGAGTTCCAGGCCAGCAGTGTCTCCAGGGAGACCCTGACTCAAAAACAAAACAAAAAATACCCCCCAAAGCCCCAAAACAAATATTTTTAAAAAGGGCTGGCAAGATAGCTCAGCTGGCAAAGACACTTGCCACCAAGCTTGATGACTCAAGTTCCATCCTTGATGACTCAGGTCCCACATATTGAAAGGAAAGAACCAACTCCTGAAAGTTGTCCTCTGACCTCCACACATGTACTCTGGCATACACGTGTGTGTGTACACACACACAAAATAAATGTAATTAATTTTTTTTTAATTAAAAACAAAAGTTGTAAAACTGATAAACTTATCTGCTACTGCTGCTAGGGTGATGGATGGTTACATCCTGTCCAGAGTGACTCCAATTGTAGGTATTCATCCCAAGGAAATAAATCAAGAGGAAGAATGATAATTCCTTCACTGTGGAAATTGGGTGATGGGACATAAGCAGTTCATTATACTATCATACTTCTATTGCATATGAAATTTTCCATATTAGAAAAGTAAGATTTTAAAACCTGGGCATGGTGGCTCACACCAATAATATTAGCACTCAGGAGGTAGAAGCAGAAGTATCAGAAGTTCAAGGTAATTCTGACCACATAATAAGTTCAAGGATAACGTAGTGGAAACATGAGACCCTAATTTTTTTTTTAAAGTTAAATCTTATCCAGGCATAGTGGTGTGTACCTATAGTCCTAGATACCCAGGAGACTGAGGCAAGAGGATCACATGAGCCCAGGGGTTGAGACCAGCCTAAGTAAGCAACATAGTGAGACCCCCATCTCAAAGAAAACAGTAACTCTAGGAATGTAATGCTCTGAGTTTAATCCTGATCGTAATAGTCTGTGACAGGTGGCATGTCTGTTGAGCTGTAAACTAAAGAAATCCAGCAGTGGCATCCCAGCCCTTTGGTTGCTTCTGGAAAAAATCTGTTAGCTTTTTGTTATTGTTGATTTGCTTTGTTTTGTTGAAGTAGCCCCGGCTGTCCTGGAACTCACTCTGCAGACCAGGCTGGCCTCAAACTCACAGAGATCCACCTGCCTCTGCCTCCTGATTGCTGGAATTAAAGGTGTTCACCACCACACCTGGCTGAAATCTGTATTTTTTAAACTGCCTACAAGATGGGCCATGCTTACAGCCCCAAAGGAAGTGGCAAAACCCTGAGCAAAGGCCTCCATTGATGCTACATGCCTGTAATCCCAGCCACTTGGGAAACTGAGGCAGGTGAATCTGCAGTTCAGAGCCAGCCTGGGGGAAAATAAAAGCTCCTGCTATGTTGGGAAGAACGCCCACCCTCAGCTGGGTTTAGGAAATACACAGGGCCTTTGACTCTAAGAAACTACTGCTAGTCTAGAGAGGTTAGATGGCTGTTTTCAGGAAGGTTTTGTTAGGAGCAGACTTGCTTCCGTTCTCAAAGTGAAATATGTGTACACAGTTGAAAAAGTGTTTTGTCAAGCTTGGGAATTCTCATCTGGTTTAGGGCTGTGTAGCATGCACAAAGCCCTGTGTTCAAGCCTTAGCACCAAATAAACTAGGTGTAGTGGCTCACGCTTGTAATCCCAGCATTTAGAAGAAGGCAAGAGGATCAGAAATCCACGGTCATGATTAACCTACATAGCAAATTCAAGACCGTCCTGGAATACATGGGAGCCTATCCAGTGTGTATGTGTGTGTGTGTGTGTGTGTCTGTGTGTGTGTGTGTGCAAGTAAGTGGGGATCAGATATTATAGTATAAATGGCCCTTAGCTTTGGATAAAATACAACAACATTAAAATCCCCAAATACTGGGTAGATGAGACAGAGAAAATTCATTATACACATGTATGAATCTGTCAAAGAATAAAAAAATAAATTTTAAGGGGACTGGAGAGATGGCTCAGTGGTTAAGAGCACAGGCTGCTCTTACAGAGGACCTGGGTTCAGTTCTCAGCACCCACATGGTGGCTAACAACCATCTGTAACTCCAGTTCCTGGGAATCTGACACCTTCTTCTGACCTCTGTGGGCATTTCATGATACAGGTACATTTACGTGCAGGCATCACACTCATATACATAAAATATTTCTTAAAAATAAAAATTTTAAATACTTCATAATTTTTAAAAACTGTTTTAAGGTATGAAGGTAAATTTGATGCTGGATCCGTCTTTCCACTAATGGTTCAGATCTGTGTATGGTTTGACCGTCCACTGGAGAAAACTCGCTTTGTGACCAAGTGTAAAGGTAAGCCTTGACTGGAACATGTTCCAGGCCCTGGTGAAAGAATACTCCAGAGTTTTACCTTCCTCATGACCCCATTTTAGTCAGTATTATTGTTATCTCTTCTCTCTACTGTTTGTGACCAGAAGTAAGCAGAGGGATTAGAAGTTAGAAGTCTCCTATTTCTGATAGTGTGTGGCCACATAGTTTTATCCACTCCACTGAAAAAGTTTTCCCATCCCTGTGACAAGGGACAGAAGCCCTGGGGAGGAAGGAGGTAGAGCTAGAAGCTTCTGAAGCATGGAGTAAGGTCCTTCCTGGTCCCTTGACTTTTCCGGCTATGCTGACGTAAAGTTGGCCTCCGCTTCTAGGTAGGTAACAGCTTTGTCCTTTTCCTCCACCAGCAATTCAGTCTTCTATCAAGCCAAGTCCCTTCTCTGGAAACATCTACCACATCCTTGGCAAAGTGAAGTTTTCAGGTACATGGGATGAGTCTTGGTAGCTTTATACCATCTTGGAGCACTCACAGCTTATGATGTGAGCTCGTAGCCTTTCCTGGTGCTCTGCAGACCAGTAATGCCTCACCAACTCCTAAACACCCTCCTCTTGGCTTTATACCCCACCAGTCTCTTCCGGCACGGTTCTACTCCAAGAATCCACTTCCCCAGATTCTCTTGTTCCACAATGGAGGCTCTACCCTCTGCTCCTTTATTATTTTCCTCACAACTCCTTGACTTACTCATTCCAGAGACTCTTACCCCATTCCTTGGAGCCATCCATAGCCTCCTTCAAGACCTGTCACCAGTACTGCCCAGAACTGAGCTTTTCAGCTCTCAGTATATCTGACCAAAGTCTTTTGCTTTTTCTTCCCTTTCGTCTGGAAAGCTCCAGAGGTCTACTCTGGAGCCCTCATAACCTCATCAGTTTTCCTAGAGTAGGAATCAGGGAAGACCTCAAAATAAGTCAGCTCAATGTTGAGGAAGAGGAGACTGTATCAAGGAAAAGAACATCATTTGTTATAGTCCAGAAGCAGAAAAGACAGGAAACACAAGGAGTTTATTGTGGCTGAAGGGAAGAAGAGTATCTGCTAGGATGCCTTTATCTTTTTTGTCTTGTTTTAGTCTTTTTGAGACAGGGTCTCCCTATAGCCCCAGCTGGGCTGGCACTCGATATATAGACCAGGCTGGCCTTGAACTCACAGAGATCCACCTGCCTCTGCCTCCCAAATGCTGGGACTAAAGGTGTGCACCACCATGCCCAGCTTTAGGGTGCTTTTTAACTCTTTTTGTTTTTTAAAGAACTTTGCCCAAAGAAAAGAAGCCAGTTTCTTGGCTAAAACTCACAGTGTCCTTGGGCCTCTTAGCAACATAATCCATTCCAAAGGCCAAAAATGTTGAAAATATTTGGGAGCTCTTATCTAATCCTTAAAAGATTTTAGGGTTACCTTTTCATAGGGAGGAATGTTAGAGTAGCCAAAAGCCCCATAAAAAAAAATAAAGAATAAAGAATCCATGCAGTTATCAGAAAAAAGTGATGGGGAGATATGGGAGGAGTTGGAGGGGAGGGAGTGGGCATGGATTTGATCAAAACACTTTATGTGCACGTATGAAATTCTCAATAAATGATTTATTTAAAAAAAAGAACTTTGGCTGATCAGCCTTTCAGTTTACATTTTATTATTTATTATTTAATGTGTTTGAATGTTTTTCCTGCATGTATGTATGTGTACCACAATCGTGCAGTGCCTTCAGAAGCTAGAATTGGGTATTGGATCCCCTGGAACTGAAGTTACAGGTGGTTTTGAACTGCACATGGTGCTGGGAACTGAACCCAGGTCCTCTGCAAGAGCAGCCAGTGCTCTTAACCACTGAGCTATCTCTCCAGCCCTACCTTTTAACTCTTATAGAAGAAAATTTCAACTAGCAGGTGCTAGGTCTTTGGCAAGAGTCAAAAGGTTGAGCTGCAGAACAAGGCCACTGAAGCCCAGCATATTAGCTTTTCCTCTGGTAGCTGTCCCTCATGGCTGCCAGGTAGTGCTACAGGCCTAAATGTCACAGACAGACACTACATTCAGCCCCTGGGGAGAGGCAGGTACTCCCTGGGTGTTATGATCTCTACAGACACCTCTCCTTATAGCCTTGCATAAGCTACAGGTGAAGAGTGCAGCTCCTCCTCCTCTCACCTCTAAGCCTTTTCTTCCTCTTCTACTCACCTGCCCAGTTAAGAGTGTCTGTCTGATCACCCACATCAACCAACCATAAACTTCTCCATCTTTTCCAACTTTCTACTACCAGTCATGTCTTAGGAATCTGTCCCAGCTGTCAACATTGTTACAGTCTAGCATTTTTTTGGTATTGAGTCTCAGAGACAAATGTGTTCTCTGTGCAGACTCTGAAAGGACAGTGGAGGTCTGCCACAACACTCTGGCCAACTCCCTGAGCATTGTGCCGATTTTGGAGGGACCCACGCCACCCCCTGACTCAAGAAGCACACCTCAAGACAACAGACAGCCAGACTGCTACCTCGTGTTCATCGGCTGCTCCCTAAAGGAGGACAGCCTCAAAGACTGGCTGCGACAATCAGCTAAGCAGGTGACTTGCAAAACCCAGGCAGGTGTAACATACATATGAGCAGCACACCCCAGGGCTGCCATTGACCCTGACAAACCTTTCCCCTGACTCCCTACTAGTCTACATCTCAAGTCTGAGCCATCACTCTTACAGGTATTTTGGAAGTAGGAAGAAGCCTGTGGGGCAGACTCTATGCAGACATGGCAACACTATGTATTCTTGCACACAGAATCTCTACAAGCTATGGGTGCTAAACCTCTTATCACAGTCAGCCTTGGTGGTTTGGTTCATTCTAGAACTCTAGGAATAGAACTGACTGGGGCCTAGGTCTTTTGTAGATGGCACTAGTCTCTTAGGAGCCATGAGCTACCTCATATGGGTACACTCTTTGTTGTTGTTTTTGAGGATATTGTGGGGTTTGTTTTTTTGTTTGAGTTTTTTGTTGTTTTTTTGGAGGGTTAGAAGTTTTGGCCAGGGTTAGACAGATTCTCACTGTGTATCCCAGACTGGCCTCAAACTTTTAATCCTCCTGCTTCAGCCTCCTGAACGAAGGGCTTATAAGTGTGTGACACCATATCCTGCTTTGGATAAGGTCTTAAATGTTATTCGGGGATTTAGCATTATTGGGGTTTAGGCATTAGAATCAGCCAAAGAGGTAAGAGCATGCCTGTTTGCAAACCACTGGGCTTTCTACCATTTGTTCCCGGTTCTCTTACAGAGTTCTGTGGTGGGAAAGTAATTTCCTCAGGGGACAGACAGACAGATACCATGTCTAAGACAGGCCAGTTATTATGTTCTTCCCTCTGTTGGGATCTTTGTCATGTAACTGACCCCCAGATCCCTGAGCCTTCCTCCACCCATGTACCCCATCAACTCTTCTGAAAAATGTGTTCTCTCCATATCTGCATAGAAGCCTCAGAGGAAAGCTCTGAAGACCAGGGGGATGCTGACCCAGCAGGAGATCAGAAACATCCATGTGAGTGCCCTGGCTTGGCCTCCCCTTCGGTGGCCTCAAACTACCCTAGACTTGCATGGCTGTCTTTTGGGTTCCCTGAATAAGGGATTTTGGCAGTCTTGCCTTTCTCAGTCCAACCTGGCAACTTCAGTAAGTGGGTTGGACCACTTCTGTGACCTGGGCATGAAATGGAAGAGAGGTAGTTCCTGTGAAAGGAATGGGTAATGGAAGGCCTGGCCTTGTCACCCTGCCTAAGTAGTTGCAGAAGATCTCTGCTTGAGATAAGTCTCAGAGAAACTGGCTGGGGACCAGAAAAAAGCCAGGTAGATCCAGAACTGCTCATGGGAAGGTTATGGGATCATAAGGACAGAATGAGAGGCCCTGGATGAGCCTTCCAGATGGTAGAATGACCTTAAGCCTCTGCCCCAGGCTCCATGCTCACTTGGGTCTTTTCTCAAAGGTCTTACGATAAAAGACCAAAAAGGACACAGTCCATGGGCTGTGTTACCAGTCCCAGTGTTGAGCAGATGGGGCAGGAGACTCTCTAGTTCTTCAGGTGGCCCTTTCATAACTGGCACCTATGGGCCTAGACAGTCTGGGAGTTCTTGCTGAAGGCATGGTGGTCACCTCAGGAGGCATGTTCCCTAGAAACACATCTTGAACAACAGGAATAGGTTGTTTATTTTGGAAGTGATTCTAGGAGACACTAAAAGAAGTATGAATATGGGCTGGGCATGGTGGCACATGCCTTTAATCCCAGCACTTGGGAGGCAGAGGCAAGTGGGTCTCTGTGAGTTCAAGGCCAGCCTGGTCTACATAGTGAGTTCCAGGCCAGCTGGGGCTGCAGGGAGATCCTGTCTCAAAAACACCAAAAAAAAAAAAAAAAAAAAAAAAAACAAGAGAGAAGGAAGAAGAGAAAGGAACAGGTCAAGAAAGGGTTTATACTCAAACCAGTACACACTGTGGGTCTGCTTATTAATCTAATTTGGAACTCCCAGGGTTCTCACCTGAGAGGCAAGAATAGCTAGGGTGTTAATTCCTTGCTCATCTGTTTATAAAACAGAGTAGGCTGTCTTGCTAGGGTAATAGGCCTGTTTGTTTTTAATGAGTGAATGGATAATAAAAGGTGGTCAGATAATTCCAACAAGATTCTTTTCCAACAGGTCAAACGCCACTTGGACCCCCTACCTGCAGGCTACTTTTACAATGGCACACAGTTTGTTAATTTCTTTGGTGACAAAACTGATTTTCACCCACGTATCCTTGGAAACAGTTTAGTCCTGTTTTTAATGTGAGACATGGGCAGAAAGGCTGGGACATACAAGCTTCTTTGTAAAAGTGGTTATCTGCTAGAGCCAGTATAATTAAGCCCCAGGATCAGACAGGGCTCTGCAATCCTGGGGGAAGGGCACAGGGACAGACCTCACAGGCACATGACCCATGTTGGCCTTTTTGTTTTTTCTTCTTCTTTTTTTTAATTTTTTATTTTTTTATTTTATTTTATGTGTATGCGTGTATTGCTTGCATGTAGGTAAGTTGCACCTGTGCCGTGCAATGCCTGTGGAGGTCAGAAGAGGCTGACCCTGGGACTGGAGTTACAGACAGTTGTAAGCTGCCCTGTGGGTGCTGGGATTCAAACCTGGGTCTTCTACAAGAACAACCAGTGTTCTTAACCGCTAAGCCATCTCTCCAACCCCTCTTTTTTTTTTTTAATTTATTGATTTGTGTGTGTGTGTATATTTCATACAGAACATCCCAAACAATCTTAATGAGCAGTCAATAATTACTCTGTGAGGTATTGTTTGAATACAGCATTGCTGACATCAATTCTGTAGTCTCCAGGGTCATGACATACAAGTTGGAAATGGCCTGGTTACAACAATCCATGGTGAGAGATAAGCTGGATGAAGTGCAAGACTAGGGAGCTTTGGTGGCGCACACCTTTAATCCCAGCACTGAGAGCCAGAGGCAGGCAGATCTCTATGAGTTCAAGGCCAGCCTGGTCTACATGGTGGGTTCCAGGCCAGCTGGAGCTACAGGGAGACCCTGTCTCAAAAAGACACACACACACACACACACACACAAAAAAAAAAAAAAAAAAAAAAAAAACTAGAGAGCGTCAATGTCCTAATGAAGCCCAAGGATTCGGTTCTAACACCTTCAGCATCTTTGTAGCTCTGATGCTGCCTGAGAGATACTTTGATATCCCATGCCTCACCTGCCCACAAGTCCTTCTGGGCCAAGCAAGCTCCCTTATTCTCCAGGCTCAGGCATTACCTCCTTAACCAGATGCCAGTCATGGACCAGTTCATGAATGATTATGTAGAAGAAGCCAACCGGGAGATCGAGAGGTACAATGAAGAGCTGGAACAGCAGGAATACCATGACCTCTTTGAGCAGAAGCCCTAGAGAAAGCTGAGACAAGACCCACTATATATGGATGAATGAATGGGTCTCCAACCCCAGCTCTCCTGAAGGCCCCTCTTAAAGGGACTGTCTCTGTCCTCCTTGATCTATGCTTGCCGGCTTAGTACATGTTGTCTTTATTCTCTGTTCTCTTGTGCAGCACTGAAAGGCATCACCTGCACCGCTAAGAGGGGTGGTACACGGGGGTGAGCAACTAGGACTGCCCTGTATGTGCTGGCAGTTCAGGCCCTCTGGGTCTCTGGTAAAAGAATCTCCCTTGGGCCACTGAGACACTGTGAGGGTGAAGGAGATACCTTTAGATTGCACAGTGGAACTGATAGGACTTAATTCCACCTAAGAGGACCTCTGGTTACCTAAGTAGTGGCCAGGCTGCGATCCATAGTGCCTTCTAAATGATGGCATCTCCCTTGTGGACTAAATGGAAGGAAGATATGATGCTTTCCAGAAATGTGAGGCTCTTGAGTTAATGGCAGCATTCCCCTGGGACTGGTCCTTAAGCTCTCCTGTGGCATCACTTGGTTCTCTAATTCAGGACCAAAAGCAAGCCTGCTGCCGAAGCCCCTAGCAGTGTCTCACCTCCCCGTCAAGGGGAGTATCCTACAACTGGTTAGTCTTGGTCCCAAGATCTGGTCATTTGGTGGGTTTTGGTATCTAGCACCCAGCTTCCCCATCCCCTGCCATGGAGGCGATACACTTTAGGAAACTTCCCCCAAACATTACTCCTTACCCTAGAGTTATTTATTTGGCTCCTGAGGACCAAGAATCTAAAAGAATCCTAATATCCAAATTAGAATTCCCTTCAGTGATTTTATTTTTGGTTTAACCATACAGAAGAGGTAAACTAATTTGTGTCCACCTTCATAATTAGTGTGGGGGACAATGTACTAGACACTAAAGGTGATGTCTACTAGGACTGAATGCCTCAGCTGATTGGACTGTAAATGTTTTCTGAATTTCGTGTACTTTTTGCATGCCTTAGGAAGAAGCACATAGGTCAAACCTGCATAGTATCCTGTAATGTAGAGAGGCTTTGAGAAGGGGCCCTGGCACAAAGAGCCAGGATGGAGCACATGTGATCCATGTGTTTGGTCACACAGAGTTTTGCAAGCAGGTAGCAAAGCAGTCATCAAGGGCTTGTCAGTAAAATATACATGTATTAGAAAAAAAATTTTGAAACCAAATGAACCAAACTACAAATACCATTGGATGAGAAATTTTGCATTAAGAAAAACTTGTGAGATTCTGACCCATATGCTCCAGTACTAGCTCTCAAAACCCCTGGTGACAAGGCCTCCTGTGAAGCTCAAGTCTGGGAACCCCTGACTTCTGGCTGGCCAGAGGCTGGGGCCCACAAAGGGCCTGCCTCTGCTTCAGAATCAATAACATAGATCTTAAGTGCAATTGATTAATAAGCAATGCATTATTGTAGCTTCCTTTATCTTTACCAAGCTCTTTTTAAAAACTAAAACTTGAGCAGCCTTAGAAAAGGGAAGGGGGTGGGGTTACAGGGTGGAACTACAGGACCATTTCATTTCCTGCAGGGATTGCTGTGAAATTGTCAGTGGAAGCTCTGGATGTCAGAGCTCTAGCCATTTCCTGGATGCCCTGGCCCTGGTAGTCCGGCTGCTGCACAAAAGAGTTTTTAAAGAGGGGTTGGAGCCCATGTGAAAGTGGGCCTTCCCACCACGTGGGGCTGTAGTACATGGTGAACTTGGTTTCTGACCACTGTCCATAGAAATGCTCTCTCACCGATCTGCCCTACCGTCCCCATTCCTCTCATAGAGGGAAAACTGATTACCTCAACTTGAATATTAAACTGTGATTGAAAAAAAAGGTAAAACATTAGGAAATATCAAAGCCAAAAAGGCAAAGCTAGCTGAAGCTCCTGTATAGACACTCCCCGGCCTGCTCGGGAGTGTGAAGGAGCACACTGGTGAAAGGGCATTCCTGGGCACACTTGCTGTGCCCCTGGCAAAGGGCACAGCAACTGCACTGTGAGCTCTTTGAGGACTGAGTTGGGATCATGCTTGTTCCCATACTGCTCCCTAGAACCCATGGGCCTCTTGACTTTTAACTGGCGTTTAATCAAATGTCTATTTGATTCCTCTGAGTCAGGGATTGGGGATCTTAGGCTGTCTCCAGAGGAAAAGCCATGACACTGTGTTTGAGCTTCTGACTTTAGAAGTGGATACCAGGGTCCCAGCAAAGATATAGGGGATCATTTCCCAGGGACAGGCAAAAGTCCTCCAGGAGTTTACATGCTTTCTCCACCTTTCCTGTTAGCAGCTTCAGTTTTTATCACCAGAGTGAATGTGATAGTGGTGAAGTCACTGAAGTTATGGGTTGTTTTGTTTTAATGTGGGATTTCCCCTTTTTGGTTGAAGGGGAGGAGGCAAAAATTAGAGGCAGACATGTTGGCCCTGCCAAGCCCTCAGGCTCTTGGACCTAAGGCTAGACAGTGGCCTGCCAGTCTGTGATCAAGAAAAATGTCCCTCCTAAATCCTGTTAGGATTTTGGAGAATTTTTGCACAGTAATAAGCTCTGAGTTGCTCTTTGGGCTTCTCAAAAGGGAAAAGTTCAACTCAAAGATTGTAAACTATTAAGTATTCCAGCCATGTTGCTGACTAGTTGGATAGTTGTACCTCAAACAGTAGGTGAGAAATGGTTTTCTCATTGTCCCAAGCGGTCAAATACTAATGACATAAAAGAGCTCACTTTGTGCCAAAATTCACTTTTATACTAGTTTTTCAATGCTTTAATATTTGTAACTTAAATTTTAAAATTCATATTTGCAAACACTACTGTAACTTCAGTGAAACTGAAATGTGTGGTTGAAGCTTTTTGCTTATTAATAGTATTTATTACACTACTTAACTCAGTAAATATATAAAAGTAGCCTTCAATTTATTTTTATATTATTTTATGTGTTTTTATCTGCAGTTGTGTATGTGAATTTACCTTGGAGATTAAGATGTAATGTTAAGGACCAATAAACTATCACTGAACAAGCAAGGCCTCTGTTGCTGCCTGTCCTGGAGACTGTCCCATAGTATTCCTGGGATGGGTTTGGAGAGGGCCACCCTGGGACTGGATACTTCTTTCAGCCTGGCTGGGATACCCCTAGGCTGGCACTGCTGTGAGAGAAGCACTTGAGGCTCACCCTTCCCAGTCCCCACAGCACCCACAGAGAATAAAATTTATACCAAGCCATCATCCACCCTGTCTTGCACAGGGGCACTTGAACCCCAGGAGCTGGAGAAAAGAGCTACTACCCTAAAGAAAAGCCAGCCCTCACACTGCCACCTGCCCACTTCCTCAGCACCTCCCTTTGTTATACTGCAGCACTCAGGATAGAATTCATGCTAGACAAGTGTTACACCACTGATCTACACCTGCAGTCCTTCACCCTCCTTTTTGTTTTGTTTTATGGTTTCTTTGAAATGGGTCCCAAAGACTTACATAGCCCAGGCTGACCTTGAATTTGCCATGTAGTAGAGGCTGGCCTTGACTCCTAATTTTCCTGTTTTAGCCTGTCCTCTTAAGTGCTACATTTACAGGCATGTGCCACCATACCTACTCACTCTCCTCTGACCATCTGGCAGGGCTTAGTTGGAACCATGCCTTTACAGGTTGATCAATTCCTTTTACAAGCTCCATGAGGTGGCCCTTCAATCTCACTTTATAAGTGGGCGTGACTGAGGCACCAAAAGATCAAGTAATTGGCACAAGTGGTATAGACACTAGCCTAGCCCGTTAAATCTAAGTGAGCCCTCTGGGGCCTTGGAATCACAAATTTTAAGAGGGAAGTTGGCCAGAGTACTCACAGCACTAGAGAAACAAGAATACATGAACTGGCATCTGGGTCTGAAGCTGGTGGTGCAGGCCTCTCATGGCTCACATCTACCCATTCTTATTACCTAACCCTGGAGCTGAGAAAGGGACAGCTGCCGGTGGGGAAAGGGGCTGATCAGGCAGGTGCACCACTCTGACAGCTTGGTCCATACAGCTCCTCCTTGTCACACTGGCAAAGGGTGTGCTTTGTGGGCAGCTTTGGGAACTGGCCCAAAGAGAAGATGCAGCTCTGAGGGCAGTCTTTCTAAGATGGGGATAATGGTGTCGGGTTTGGGAGTTTACAGGCCACACTACATGGAAGGAGGCTGATAAATGGGGTGACATCGGTCCCCCAAGCCTCCTATCTTGTAGACCGTGGACCTAAATTCTATGCTTGTTTTTCTTTTTTGTTTGTTTGTTTGAAGCAGGGTCTCCCTGAAACCCCAGCTGGCCTGGGATTCACTATGTAGATCAGGCTGGCCTTGAACTCACAGAGATCTGCCTGTCTCTGGGATTAAAGGTGTGCGCCACCACACCCAGAAATGCTTGTTTTTCTAACAAACCCCCAGGGTTTGGAGACAGACCTGTGAAGAATTGCCGGGCACAGCAAGTATCAAAGGGCTTTTTCCTCAGGCCAGCATTACATATCCTCAGCAAGCCATTTCTGAACTTTTCTATGAGATCAGATACCTGCTTGATTTTCATAGAATTGCCTTCTGGTAGTCTTTTTCTAGTACAAGTGATAGGAAACATTTCTTTTTCTTTCTTTCTTTCTTTTTTTTCATGTGTATGAGTGTTTTGCTTATATGTGTCTAAGTGTACCCATGTCATGCAGTGCCCACAAAAGGCCAGAAGAGGGCTCAGAGCTCCTGGAACTGGCGTTACAGTTGTTAGCTGCTGTGTAAGTTCTGGGAACTGAACCTCGGTTCTCATCAAGAGCAGCCAGTGCTCTTAACTGATAAACCATCTCTCCAGCCCCTGTGTTTTGTTTTTGCTGTTGGTCAGGGGAGAGGGTGGGTGGTTGACTGGTTGATTTTTGGTGCTTTTGAGACAGTCTCCTTGTAGCTCCAGCTGGCCTGGAACTCACTTATGTAGACCAGGCTGGCCTTGATCTACCACCACCCAGCCTAAGAATCATAGTTTTTTCATTGTGCTAATGATAATAGTGATTTTTGACCAAGAAAAGAAAAACTTTAAAAACATTCTAGAGCCAGGCATGGTAGTGCACACCTATAGTCTTAGCAATTTGGGTGGTGAAGGCAAAAAGGTCAAGGCTAGCCTTGACTACAAAGTGAGTTTGAGGCAAGTTCAGGTTACATGAACATATGTCCTAAAATTTTTATGGGTTGGGGGCTGGAGAGATTGCTCAGTGGTTAGGAGCACTTGGCTGCTCTTGTAGTGGGCCCTGGTTTGGTTCTCAGCACTCATGTGACAGCTAATAACCATTGGTAACTCCGGGTCCAGGGGATCTGACACCCCCCTCTGGCCACAACAGGCAGTGCATGCACATGGGGCACTGTGCTGGATGGCTTTAGTTGTCAACTTGACACACCTGGGTAGAGGGAGCCTCAACTGGGAAACTGCCTTCATTGGACTGGATTATGGCCATGTCTGTGGGGTATTTTCTTGATTTTTGAATGATGTAGGAGGGCCCAGACCACTGTGGATAGTACCACCCTTGGGCAGTTTATCTTGTACTGTATAAGAAAGCAGGCTAAGCATGGGCCAGGGGAGCAAGCCAGTAAGCAGCACTCTTCCATGGCCTGTGCTTCAGCTCCTGCCTCCAGGTTCCTGTCCTGAGTTCCTACCTTGGGCTCCCTCAGTGATGAACTGTGACCCAGGAGATATAAGATAAAATAAACCCTTTCTGAAAGAAGGAGCTCAAGAGAGGTGGAATCATAGGTGACTGGTATTATCAAGGGAGAAATGGGGAAAATGGGGGCAGGGTTAGACAGTGAGAGAGGAGAGATAAATGTTTAGCTAGTTTTTAAAAACCAGAAGGAGGGGCTGGAGAGATGGCTCAGCAGTTAAGAGCACTGACTGCTCTTGCAGAGGACTTGGGTTCGATTTCCAGCACCCACATGGTGGCTACGAACCGTCCTTAACTCCAGTTCCAGGGGAATCTGAAGCCCTCTTCTGACCTCCGCAGCATTGCATGACATAGGTGCACTCACATACATGCAGGTGATACACTCATACACATAAAATTAAAAAGAAAAAAAAGGAACCATTTTAGTCCAACAACCTACTGACAAATTACACATACATCATCTCTACGTGAGTCCATGTGTATAGCTAAAGGCTACATAATAAAAAACAGTGCCAGACGGGAGATACCTTCCTTTGAGTTGTTGGCCAGGGTGGTCCAAGAGACTGCCAAAATTACTCAGGCTATTGCCACAGCCCCTGATGGTCTTACCGTTGAAGGTAAGACCCTACTGCTGAGGACAGAACATACATTGGACACAGGATTTGGAACAATAGAGCTGCAACTGACTTGTAACCACTTCCCCCTGAAGGCAGCTCTCAGCTTTGGAGAGCGCTATGAAGGTGCCAAGGGAAAACATCAATCGATGGTCCAACACCAGCTTCAAGACCAAATAACCACATCAATGGCCAGCACAGCATACATCATTGGTGCAGTAGTGGCATTCTTATCTTGGGGTAATCAACAGCTACCTAATTTGACTAAACACCCACTCAAAGGGAGGAAACTCAAGTGTGGTAATGTAAACATAACCTACTACATGGCTGGAGTGGCCAGAGATCTTAGAGAAAACCCGAAGACTGTCACATCGCTAGACTAATGGGATTTCTTACTATGTGCAAAATATGTATCCTTATATTCACAAACAAATATCCCAGTCACCACACATCAAAGAAGCTCATTTTGTACCAATCAGAGACTATTACCAAGTACCACTACTGGTCACACACAGACATTGTGTATGAACTGCCCAGGCCTAAGGAACACATCTACAATGC